CTGTTCTGGCTGCGCCTGTTCAGCTGCCCCGTGAAGTAAAGCGCTCGCTGTAGCTGCATCCGTAAGTGTTGCCACAGCTTCACGTTAAAAACAAGCAAACAGACAAACAAACGCTTTGGGTTAGGCGTCTAAAGGTCCCCAGACGCTCTTGCCTCTCTCTCATCCCACGTTCTGCTCAAAGCTGCAGCTGTTCTGTTTGTTACTCAAACAGCTCTGAGGTGATAGCTGATCTTTAAGAGATGGGGCATGTAATTCTTGTGGGAATTCATCTTTACTGTGCGATTCCCATTCAGACTGAGTAGCCATGGAGCAGCCTTTTGTGTTCCTCTTGGATCTCCTGGTCCTGCATGTGGATACCTGTATCTCTTAAATGGAGCATAAACCTCTCTGAACCTTCCTTGACTTCCAGGGATGAGCTGGGCCTTGCTTTCTGAGGAGTATATTAGGACTCATCTGTCCTAATAATGAAAAGCACTAATCTCGCTCTGTTTTGTTTTCCAGGGTGGAGACGTGATCAAGCAGCCACCCTCTGTGGATCTGGCAAGCAAGAAGTGCCGGCAGGTGCTGATGGATCTGGAGGAAGTGTTTCAGCACTTGGAAGTGATGTTTAGTCTGACTCTGGTTCCTCGGATCCTTCTTCTACTTGGAGGCAACGTCATGAGCCCCAAGGAGCTCTACGAGCTCAACTTGGAGGGTATCTGTGAGGGCAGTGCCGCGGAGAGCCTGAAAACCGCGTCCTGCGTTCGCAAGCTCTTCCACTCGCTCTTTGTTGCGGATGTGTTCAGCGAACTCAAGGAGCTCCCTGTCATGGGCGCCGTTGTGATGCTCCAGGGGCATCGCGACTGTGGTGTTGATTGGTTCCGGCCCAAGCTCAACTATAAAGTGCCGACCCGAGGCAGGAAACTAACTGTGAGCTTGTCCTGCGACGGAGGCATCCACGCGAGTGCCTCGCCTCCCCAGTGCGTCCCATCAGCCTGGGTGGACTACATCTGGTTCCAAGCCCCAGTGACGCTCAAAGGCTTTCATGAGTGACTCTAGCACTTTACTGGGACGTGGAATAACCTTTGGTGCTGCCATAAGTGATAATAACTTTGTCAAATGTAACCACATGTTCTTGTCCGTCTCGATTTCTTCTCCAGGCATCCACTGCCTTCCCGTAGCTCCACTGTGTTCATCTGTCTCCTGAATTGTCGTAGAACAGAAATGCCCTTTAAGGCACAGCTTGCACACAGCGGCAGGGATTCTTTTGGGGCCCAGATGTGGCACAGGAGATGAATTGGTGTGTTGGGAGTGAAATTTTCCTGCTGTGAGCTTACTGAACTGGCAAATACTGGATACAGTCTTCTCTCTCCTGAATTTTCACGTGGCCAGCTCTGCTAGTAACTACAATGTCACTGAGGGTTTGGGACTCTAGACAAGGGCTGTGATTATCTATACAATACACTTGGCCTTTATAGTGAAGGCCATGACCATTCTTACCTCCATTGTTCCTGTAAAAGGAAACCTTTTCCTGCAGCCTGATCAGGCTTGAGCACTCAAGTGTCTGTCCATCCATTTAATAAAAATAGACTTCCCCATAACTCAATTTCAGTTACTTAATGTTACAAAGAGGGGGGCTTCTTAGCTCCTGGGACCTCTTGCCTCTGGCACAGTTTTGTACTGGTGATGGAAAAAGGCTAAACAGCCCTGTGGGGCCAGGGAGGCACATCTGCCTATGTTTCTTTTTTTTTTCCTCGACTTTTAGTCCAACAGCCCTGACAATCAATGAGAGTTACAGTTAAAAGTAAGCAGTTTCTGCTCTAACCCTCCTCAGAGGAAGTTAGGACTCCTGCCCCAATATGCCAGTTTATTCTCACTTAAGAACAAAAAAGTTAGTTTCTTGCTTACTTCTATGTCTTGGAAGTTGTAGAGTTGTGGACTCCAAATGCTGTTTCTGAAATGCGAAGAAGAGGTTAGTGAAGTATGATGAAGTTCAGCACAAACTTTACCTGTCAAATTCCTGTTGTAAGCCAGAATGTGATACTTGGAGGCAGAACTTGAGCCCTTTATTCTGGCTTGTTATCCAGGGTGGAATGGGCTGGGGAGGGAGAGTGAGGAACCCTTGGGCACAGTGTGTCAGACCTGAGGTATCTGCTGGAGTTACCTGCAGTCAGCTGGGTTTGTGTCTGTGATGTAGTGAGCTGAAATGCTCCAAATAGCTGTGTCCCATCTGAAGAGAAACTCAAGGCTACGGCTAGTGAGGTTGCTCACAGTTTTTGGCTGACAGAAATTGCACAACGGGTTGGTAGGAGTTCTTTGAAAGGAGGGGAAAGGTTGAAGTAAGCCTCTACACTTGGTGCGTATTTTAACTTTGGCCTTTTGGAATGAGATGAGATTACAGGACTAGGAGGAAATTAAGTTCATAGTTTTGAACTTGGATGACACTAGGAGTCCTGTGTCTGCATTATTATCCACGCACAACTGTTAACAATGTGTAGTAACTGCTAAAGGTAGCTCTAGGGCCAGACTGCTGGAATGCAGAAAGCTGCCTTATGTGCAGCTATTCACTTGAATATGTAATCACAGGTGTTTTGAATGAAATCTTAACTTGAATGTAGGAGTGTTTGTGCTCAGGAGATCAAAACCCTCTACACTATGGCCAAGCTGCTTGTGATGCGTATTTATGAAGCTTTAGAACACGAGGCTTAGTTCCGAGGCACAAGGTGCCAGTTCCTTTCTACTCTCTCTCTCCCCCATGAGTGCAATGCTGCTGCATGGAGCTGTTTACATATTCTGTTGTACTTGAACTATGAAGGCAGCGATGATATGGTGCTGGGAATGAAAGAAGACAAGATGCTTTTTCTTTTTTTTTTTTTAGAGCTTGTTTCACAAGTATAGTACTGTAATCATTATGAAAATAAAATGCTGGTGTCTGTACGAGATTACATTTGATTTGCTTAATGCCTCAGAATAAAGATTCAAAATAAAGCTTCTGTTATGTGTACCCAAACTGCAGGTCACAGCTTTTCCACCTTTCTGACAAAGTCCACGATGTCTTGTGCCAGAAGCTTTGGTTCCTCAAAGGCAGCGAAATGCCCTCCACGTGGCATGTAGGAGAAAGTGACGATGTTCTTGAACATGTCCTTTGCCCAGGCTTGCGGCGTATGTGCTAGCTCCTGAGGAAAAGCTGCGATCCCTGTGGGAACGTGTACTCCAACCCTAGAAATGGGTGAACTGCAGCTCTGAAAGAAGTCCTGGGGAAAGCCTGTAAAATCCTTCTGACCGTGCTAACTGGCACAGACAGCTGGAGAAGTTCCACCACAACCACCCATCTTGTGGTCTGTACTCAGCTAAAGCCCTTCACTTGTATTTGGATCTTCTGGAGTTTAAGAATGTTATACCCCAAAACCAGTAAAGTAGAGCCAACTTTGCACACAGGTCCAGGTTGAAGTGTTTCAGAATCTCAAGTTTACTTTGTTTTGTAGTTTTGTGGTATGTGGCAAGATGCCGCACCTCTTTGTGACACTCAGCAATGAGCTAGCTTGTGTTTACCTTAGAATTTATGGTAACAGCCTAACAAATGACTCTCTTGAGAGGGAAGGTTAAGCTGGTTTGGTCTCCAAAGCAAAACCTCCTATTTGTTTGTATGATCAGTCCCTTGGAGAGTTCTGCACAGCAGCATTTTCCTGGTCAGCCTCTCTGACAATCACCTGAAAGCCAGCTGCTCTAGAAGGTGTTTAGTTTTAAGTACTGCTTTCTAAATTGCTCCCCCAAATTTGTGCTCAGCAGTCGCAGTTCTTAGTTTATGCATCAGAAAGCCTTCTCCTTCCTAATTCAATTTAAACTTCTACCTTAAAAAAGCTCATGATCTTCTATTTTGTTTCGACTGAACTGAGGCAGGCTACATTTGTTTGGTGAACAAGTACGTAGTCCTGTATTGGAACACAAGACTGACTACACTTTGACAGGTCCTCTGCACTGTTTTGGCCACAAGCCACCTTCTGTGAATTGTAGATTCCAAAGAAAGGTGACCCTTAATTATATTTATCAAAAGAAAATAAGACCTTGGGTTTTTGCTTGATGTAGTTACATATGTTCTTGTAAGTGACCTAAATGTTTATACAGGCCAATGTGGTTCAATCTCATTTGCAAACCTCTCTAGCACCTGCCACTTCCTTACCTGCCATCATCCGTTAGACCTAAGATGTTCTCCTTGTAGAATCGCATTGACGACACAATGGAGGATGTCACCCAGTAAATCATCACATTGGTCAAAAGCTCATCGAGAGAGTATTTGCTGTTGAGAGAGGAAAATGAAGAAAGATCACTGGAAGCTGTTCTTCAATTCACTATATTAGGCTCTTGCCCTGGAGAACAGTTGTTCCTCTTGTTCCCAACTTGTTTTCAAGCAGCAAATCCATCAGCACCCGTGTGCTCAGAGCAAAACTGCCTGGAGCCAAAGCAGTAGTGTGCAGGCAGCCTGCTACAGATTTCAACTGCTACTTGTCACGTGTAATCTTTCATCCTAAAAATTCATCTTTGACTGGCCAGTCTTTTACCTATCTCCTCATTAGTAATCATCACTCCTCTTAATGAGTCTTCTCAAGGAAGAGCTGCTGTTTTCTTACCTCTCCAAGCCTCCATCGTCTTTATGCAGAAATGATTTATCTGTCCAAGTTGAGAATTTCTCCAAAATATATGCAGCAAGCCCCACAGGGGAGTCATTCAGTCCACAGCCTAATTCAGGAGAAGAACAGGAGAATGGGGGATAGGGATTACTTTCCTAGTGGTAGAGGCTTGCCTTGGGAAAATTCCTGTACCACACCCCAGGCTGCAGTTTGGCAGTATACTCTGTTGTCCACTCTGAAGTGTATTTTAGCATGACTTTATAACTGTGTGACTTTGTAGAAGACGATGCTCAACACGGTCTCAGTTAAACAGCGGACAGAGACAATGCAAATAAGTTTGTGCTTTGGCATGACAGCTTCTCTGCACTGGCCGGCCTGGAGTGATTTGCTACAGTTCAAAGTCCTGTAACTGCTTTGACCCTCAATGGAAGGACAGGCTAAAATGTGCCAGCTAGCACCTGCGCTGTCTGGAGATGAGCATTTTCTGGGCTGAAAGCTGCCTCTGAATCACTGTATTCAACATCCATTGATCAGATGCTCAGAAATACCAAACAGAGTGAAGAGACGGATTATCGTGGATTTAGTGTTTTGTCTTAGTTTCTTTTCTCTTTCTGTAAGCATTCGTAGGATTCTCTGAACCTCTGAGCCAGCTGACATTTTGAAGCACTATCCATGGCTCATGGATTCTCTCATATGGCAGCAGCCAAACCAGAGCCTGTTGCGATTTTCTTTCTGTACTTAAATTGCTCTGGACTTTGTTGACACCAGATTTTTATTGGCCAGTTTAATGAACCAGTTACTTAAATGTTTTTGCAACTCTGCGGTTATCTTTAGATTAAACAAAACCCTGGATAACTGTCAAGTTTTCACTTAACCATTAACTTTTATCCATAGAGAAATTAGGATCATGCTGAAACATACAGGTGCCAGCACAGACTTTTGTGATACTCTCCTGCACTTGGAAGTTGCTTACTTATTCCTATGCTTGGATTCTCACGTTAACTAGTTATTAATCCATGAACTTAATCATCTTCTTAATACAGTTTAATTCATTTAAGAACATTGTTGGAGGAACCTCAACAAAATGTTTCTGGAAATGAAGTATGTTCCATTACTGGATCAACAGCTTTTTGATTCTGCCAGAGCTCTGATTTTTGAAGCATGATTTCCCTGTGATATGATCAACTGCGCATTAATTTTCCACTTTAAAAACTCCATATTGGTCTTTATTTTGGAGGACTACATTCACAATTTACCTCTTAAAAAAAAACCCCAAAACCAGAAAAAAAAAACAACCAAAAAACCGCAACTTGACCTGCTATTTTGTTTGTTTCCTTTTTTTTTTTTCTTTGGCATTGTGATCAAGCAACAGACTGGCAGTAATTGTTTCAGTTTGAGTTTCTTCCTTTTCCATGAATTGCCAGG